TCAGAGTCGTTAAGAAGCCAGGCGATTGGTAAATTAATGAGCCCGTTCATGGATCTAATGTGTATGAAAGGGTTCGCACAGTACAGTGAAGGAGCCACACAACTTCGTCTCAACTGAAGACTATCCACAAAAGTTGGAAACACGCAACACCATGATAGAAAATGCAGCCTAAGCAGAGCGCGTCGCCCTAACGACGGTGCCAGTAACATGGAAAGCAGAGCATATCTAGTAATAAAGTCACCAGTTGATTTCCTCCTCTAGTTCATAGAGTCAGCAGGATAGATCACCATTAGCCAATATGCACTCTCTTGGTTAAGTCGAGTCCATGCGCAGCTGATTTGGTACAGCATGCCCGTCCGGCATTTCCGTGCAAAGACGGGGGATCACAAGTGTGATGGGATTAGGCAAACAGAGGAATGAGACAGATTTACATGACGAAGTAAGCGACTAGTTTACCGCAAATGAGCGCAGCAGATGGCTGGACGCCTACGCGTCTTCGCGTACATGCTGATTGGTTCATATATAGACGCGCTAGGGTGAATTTGTTTGACTGATTCAAAGGAAAAATCTCATGAATGCAGAAGCGTCACTAGTTATGGAAGTGACCTAATTATTTACATCGAGGCTTTTACAAGTTAGTCACGTTACCATTTTCGCTGAGTTTGCTTTGTCGAATAAACTGTTTGTCCATGACAAACCGAGTTATGCGACATGGTGTCAGAGAAGAGCAAACCAAGATCACTGGAAGTTGCTCAATTGCTGAGTGGAGTGCAGCCAGCTGTACCAATGCCTGTTCTGTTGGACATGGAAAGAGACAATTTGTCCAGTAGCTGGAAAAGTTGGAAAAGTAAGTGGATCGATTTCTGAGCACTGGTGCGTCTGAACGAGCAACCGGTGACGTGTCGTCTGCTAATGTTTAGACATACGATAGGAGATGAAGCACGTCGCTTCCTGGAAACGATGCAGTACGGAAAGGACGAAAACAAAGCCGATCTGGAAACAGTCATACGAAAACTCGGCGGTTTCTGCGAGTGTCAGACTAACGAGACGTATCAGCGGTATCGCTTTTTTCTTCGAAACAGCCAACCGAATGAAGGTATCGAGAACTAAATTACAGAGCTAAAGATCCTGGCTGGTCCCTGTAATTTGTGTAATTGTATGGCTGACAGTCTCATCCGAGATATAACGGTGCTAGGGAGCAATTGTAAAAACATCACCAAGCGCCTGTAGCGGCAACGGCATTTATCGATCGGACGATGCGTTGATATGTGCCACAGTGAATAGTCAGCTGTAAACCGCAGCCTGCAAATACGGTTCCCATCTGAGGTAGAGCTGTGCCGTAACCAGTATGTTGGACAAAACATGACAAAACAAGAAGCTAGAAAATTCTGCGCGGTGCGACATCCGAAGGATCAATGTCCGGCGTGACGCCGAATTTGCGTCAAATGTTGCAGAAGAAATCATTTCGCTGCCAGTCTTCAGAAGTGAATGAACTCAACCGTGACACAATGCTGTCTGACCCTTCACATTCAATATGCAACGTGTCGGGGACGGGACCAAAGAAGTGCGTCCAAGCAAGTTTATTGGTTGTCGACGAAATCAGATGCTCCCCACTAGTCACGAGTGCCCGCGTCAACATAATACCAGCAAAGCTGTACCCAGGAATTCGTGTGCGATCTGATCAAGCTTTTTTGCGCATTCGGAACGGCCAAAAGTTTCAAGCGAAGGGCTTGGTCGCAATCAAAGTGATCAATCCCAAAGACGGATCTCCACATCAATTTGATTTCGTAGTCGGAACTCTCAAGCAGATTCTCGGCACTGATTCCATTCAGTGTATTAGCTTTGTTCATCGAAACTCCATTCGCTTTGTGCACGTGTGTCAACCGGAGATAGATGTTAGTGAGTAGTATCCCCAGGTATGGGGAGGTTTTAAGGTTTCGCACATTCGTCAATAGATCAGTCAATATGACCGATTGCCCTATCAGCTAGAAAGGCTCAGTTTGCTTTACATGATAAGTTCACCACCGAATTAAGTGACTTGATGCAACTAGGCGTAATCGCTAAGTTCGACGAGCCGACAGGTTGCATCAGTCAAGTCGCAAGGGTAATGTGAAAAAGGACGGTGATTTGCGTTTGTGTATAGATAACAAGCCATTGAACAAAGCTTTAAACAGAGAATACTATACGCTACTGACGACGGAATAGGTTCTGCTGCATTCGGCTAAGGCAAAGCACTTCACCAAGGCTAATCTATCATCGGCGTTTTCGCACGTGGTCCTAGATGAATCAACATTTCTTAACGAGGTTCACCATACGCTTCGGGTGTCTTCGCTGGCTACATTTATTGTTTGGTTTGAAGATCTCGAGCGATATTCTTCAGAAGCAGTTATTGCAAACTGTGAACGATCTAGGCGGTGTAACATGTGTAGCAGACGATGTACTGACGTACGGCTCGACCGTCAAGCTGCACCACTTCATGCAGCGTTGCGTGCAAAAGAATATAAAGCTTAAAACTGAGAAAGTTGAGCTCCAGAAACCGGAAGAGATCCTTCAAGGGCACATTCTGACATCCAAAGGAATAAAGATTGACTCGGAAAAAATAAAGGCAGTGCAATAGACGCCACAATCTAAAGACGTCAAGCCTGTTAGTCGTTTAAATAGCATGGTGAATCATTTGAGTCCGTTTTTATCAAGTTGTAATCATGATGCCCATCCGGAGGCTGACACACAGGGGTGTAAAGTGGAGTTGGTGGAAGAGCATGAGGTCGCGTTTACAACCATCAAGCATTTCATTAGCTCTGCACCCGTAATCGGTTACTGCGATTCAGCTCTGCCTTTGGAGGTGCAACGTGACAGCAGTCAGCGCGAAATAGGCGCCGTTATCATGCAGGATGGTAAACCCTTGGGTTTCCGCATTCGGGTGATCAGAGTGGTGGAACAGCGCCATGCACAGATTAAAAGTGATACTCGCTGTAGTCTAAGTGATGGAGCGATGCAACGATTACACTCTTAGAAGGACACAGTGTATACTGACCATAAATCCCTCGTATTAATAGCCAGTAAACCGTTACAAAATATCCATGAACATCTTCAAGCTATTTTCATTCGAGTTCAAAAACAGGACATGGGTCTTATGTACGCCCCAAGGACGCAGATGTACATCGCGGACGCTCTGCCGGAAGTACTTTTCCGACAGTAGGGTACCAACGGGAAGAACTCGAAGCAGTAAATAGTGTACAACATCTGGCGGTAACGGCAGAGCGCCTGAAAGGTGTTCCCAAACGTGATTTTGAAAGGATGGCCAGATACCAAAGGATAAACGCCCAAAGGAATTAGTGCCATTATTCAAATTTCGGGAGGAACTTACGGTGTATATCGGTTAGCTGTTCAAGAAAAGTAGTATTTTGATCCCACCGTTGCTTCGCAGAGATGCTAGAACACGTTCATGGAGCCCATTTGAATGACAAATACAGCATTAACAGAGAACGCGAATTGATGTCCTGATTCGGGATGACGAGTCAAATATGAGGTCAATGCATAAAGCTGTTCAGCAGGCCGGTCTCACGAAGATCGGAAAGTCAGGCGACAAATGATGCTGCATGGGATTCCAAATCAACCATTGCATAAAGCAGCGGTAGACTTGTTCTGTGACATCAATGGACTACTACAGCAACTGCCTCGAGATCGATCTACTAATGGCTAACACTACGGAAACAGTCATCAATAAGCTCGGATGTTAGTTCGTCAGAAACGGAATACCGGAGAAACTGATCCCCGACAATGGCTTACAGTTTACAAGTGCTGCGCTCCAGACTTTCGCAAACATGCGGAAATTCTCGCCTCGATAAACTGACCCGTATCACAGCCAGTCTAACGGGAAAGCAGAGGCGGCAGTCAGATAAGCCTGAAGATTGTTGTCGAAGGTTATAATCACTCATGTGAATCCGTATTTGATGCTGCTGGAGATTCGCAACACCCATCACCGAACATCGGTCTCGGTTCAGTGCAACGTTTAGACAGCAGGACAAAAATCCTAATGCCCGTGCCTGCTGAACTTATAAACCCTGTCTTGGCATCACATGTGGAACTGCAAAGGGGCTTAAAAAACGGATGGTAGATCAGAAACGATATTACGACCGTAAGACACGAGCGTTACTTGAGCTATCAGTAAACGAAGAAGCGTGGATCCAACCAATACCGGGTGTCAATGAGCGATGAAAGAAAGGTTTGGTGACCAAGAAGGTAGGAGAAAGACCCTATGAAGTCAATGCTGGAGGAAATATAATCAGTAGGAACCGAGTGCAGTTGAAGCGACATCAGGAACGAGAATATGAACCTGAAGCAAAGCACACGACGACGTTCGGTGACATCACAAAGACGGGGGCACCAGAGACCACGCGAGGTGGTAGGGCGCACGGAGTCTCACGTGACACCGATGCGACTGAACAAAAAATGAGGATGCGATGGGACTATGCAGTCAATGGAACGTGAGGGATTTACATGACGAAGCAAGCGGTCAGTTTACCGCAAGCGAGCGGAGCAGATGATTGGATGCCTACGTATTTTCGGGTATACGCTGACGGGTTCAGAGTTGACAGCGCTAGGATGAGTTTGTTTGACCGACTCAAAGGAAGGATCTCATAAATGCAGAAGAGTCGTTGGTTATGAAAGTGTCCTAGTTATTTACATCGAGAAGATCACAAGCTAGTCACGCTGTCATTTCGTTGAGCTTGGTTTGTCGAATAAACGGTTTGTCCTTGAAGGATCGGGTTTTGCAACAGCAAGCATATGGTGTGTGCAACTTAAATAAGAAAATAGCTCAATAATAAAAGTTCTCGTAGATCAATGTGTGAATATCAAATCAGTAACCAGGAGTAAAAACAACTGAAGGCGAAAAAATAACACAGTATCACGTGAGTCAAAAAGCGTCAGGCTAACAGTGAACAAAATTATTCGGTGCGATCTAGCCGAACAAAGTGGATATGCAGATGAAGACATACCATCTCCTTCAAAATGGGTTACAACACGGCCATTGACTTTGACGATCAGATCACAAGGGCAGGGAGAAAGACCGCGATCGACAACCAGTTCGTTGAGAAACTAATAAGGGAGGAGAGTGTTTAGGCGGTGAGGCAAAAAATCGCGGAAAATGTGACAGCAAAGTTGCGAAAACAGTCAGTGAGTGATACTGTCGGTAAGTTATGGAGAGGACTGAAAATAATCGTCCTGAGATTACAGAATCGCTTCAGGCTCACAAGTGCAACCAGAAAATGCAGCTCAGAAAGTGAGCCCAGACAGGGAAGTTCCGAGAAAACCGTCGTTTAGTCCTGGCGTTTCTGTGCAAGGAGCTGGGAACAACTTAAGCTACCAGACACAATGCGCCTAGCATGAAGTGGAGGGAAAAAGAAAAAAACTTTAAACCACAAGAAGCGAATGTGTGCGTCTGCGCTAATATGCCTGTGAATAATAAGGGGAGTATGGTGACCCAAAATGTAGTGTCGGTCCCAAGTTGTAAAAAGAAATGTATGTGCTAAGCACAAAAAAGGGTTATTCGCAGCATACCAACATTCGAAGCGCTGAGATGGAAAAGTACACACTGAAAATGACTGACATGAGATATTTTGCAGTTATCAGCACAGAAGCTAACAGAACTATTAGCAAAATATTAGTGCATCGGAAAAACGCAATTCGCGTTAAGCACAGGTGTAACTGTGACATCCGTTAAGCGACAATCAGGGTGGTTAAGCTAGTGCACCTGACACATGTCTGCTTGCCAGCTATGTGACGAAAGTTGATAAGAAGTAGGTGATAAGATGGCTTTGATCACGTGAAAGACGTGAATGTCAGCTACGGCAGTTAACGCACGCACGCATACTCTTAGCAGTGATAAAGTAACGATAGCAACGAATGCCAAAAACGGTAACAAGGGCAGGCACAAAGCCATACGACGATGGTTGTAAGTAGTGGCGACCTGTGCGCTGGAAGGAATGGCAAAAAGAGTGTTGTGGCCCAGTGGCGTTCCACGTGCATGAGAAGCACTCAATCTGTTGCATCCAGTTGGCTTACCGTATTGCTTTATGCATGCTAATGCATTTCAAAGTGAGATAAACTTGTGTCCGGACAGCACGTTGTGTGTCTAGGTTGCGATACGTGGTACGGACCGTAAACGTGATCTATGCTGAAGCGATGGGCACAAGCTACATGAACCCTGCCGAAGCGTTGTAACAGGTATTGCGCAAGTAACAAGTTAACTGGTGACTAAAGCAGTCACGAAAGCATCGATTCGAAGTGCCATCTAACGGGACTAATCGGAGTAAGCTTGAGATAGCTGCTGAAGTACAATGACGGCAATGGGGAACAACAAGTATGTCCACAGATCACTACAGGGTTCACTTAGCTATCAGGAGGAAATACGAGGGGAGATGGCGGGATGGTGCTGTGTTTGAAAACGAGGATTGTCGATGACTTTCCGGACATTTGTACCGGATAGAGTAAGTGCGGATGTGACTGAGGTCGGTAACTTGTAATGCACACATGTGGCAAAATTGTTGCACTTTCCCAATCTCGTTCGATTTCACCAAACAATCCATAACAACGGACTCGACAAGGCAGGTGACAAGAAGGCGGTAAACCGGGTTGTTAGAAAGAAAAAGCGACACGCATTTCGGAACTTTGGCTAATGACCATTGTGCCTCAAAAACAGTACTACACCAGTATGTGCTGGGCTGGATAACATTCATAATCAAGAAGCAAAAATAGAGGAAGAGTTAGGATCAATAGGATAGCATAAAACATTGTGCGTTCCCAAGAGACAACATGGTGGTGCTCAAACGATTACGACGGTAAAATGTACAACACACAAGCCAGAAGACAAGGGACGCGGGAGGCATCACGTAACACACATGAAGCAACGGGAAGCGAATTGGATGAACATGGCGCGAATCAAACATCATCCGTGAAAGATTCATCAGTGGCTACTAACAAAATACTCTGTAAGAAGAAGTAAGCGACATCTTGAGCAGAAGGAACAAAAGAACGACGAATGAGGACTACAGAACTAAAGCGCAAATAAATTGAGAAATAAGCAACGCAGCCAACTGAAGCACCGAAAACGTCCAGGTGAGACGAATACGTCGCGAAAGGTGATTAATTAGTTCGCAGTCAATTAATTTAAAAGGAATGTGGGGACAAACTAGCGGCGTACGCCTCTCCCCGGCAACACTATGCTACATCTCCGGACCGAACAATTTGAGGAGGAGTTAAGCAACCGGCCTGTGTCCGCATCGCCATCTGGTTAACCTAGATAGCTATAATGATTAGGATTGAATCAAATTTGTACCGGTGAAGCGAAAGGCACTCGAATCCAATGACTTTCCATCATCAAAACCAAAAAATAGTGCCGACTCACAACGGACTAAAAGAAGATGCTTGCTCACAAACGACCGTCAATTTCCGCTTTTACTTTCGAGTGCAAAATAACGTAATGCACAATTCGCTAGGAGACATCAATATCCTGCTAGCTGACTCTTCAATTCTTAAAAGTACCGGCGACACACAGTTTCATAACGGTGGGACAAGTAAAATCCGAGTTAGCACCTACCACAGAAAGAGATGGAGTAGCGACGCGTAAGTGGATGTGTCAAACAAAATAATAACAACGGTCATTTTACAGCTACTTGATCGCAATGGTGATTCCATATGACCAATATTAAAAGATGAGGGGAGCTTTTAGTTAAGGCGCAGTCTCTGTTCCGCAGCTTTCAGGTAAAGTGTCCGTCAGAAGCAGTTCACTGAGTTCACCAAAATAAATGAGGTACCCTATGAATATTCCGCGGCTCACGTACACTTAAACCAATACGAATGGGACCACCTGGCCTGCGTCGACCACTTTACCTGTAGATGCTATGTTGAGTGACAGACTGTCAAAGTTCGATGGTTCGAAGAGCATTGCTCCATTTGAATCGAGCCACATTGCCGTGTAAGTGCTTCCGAATAGACGGATTCATTATGCCTCACGCCTCTAAATGTGATCTGCAGCATCAAAAGATGTAATGCCGAAACAATATCACCGATGAGGAGCCCGATGTAGTGGGCAGGTCCACTGATCACTGGTTCTCCAATGAAGTGCTCAATGTATTTGCATGCGCGCCCACCGGGTCCCATGTTGTTCCTCGCTTACTGATGACACTGCGCCTAGTTTGGTGGAACCCGTATGTGGTCACTCAGGTAAACAGAGTGGAGAATCTGATGGAAAAAGTGTAACAGATTGGTGCATGTGGTGCCCCAGTTATTTCCGTGTTTTGGAATCTGATGGTGAATGGTGAACTCAGGGAACCGTCTGCTGCATTGCATTCGATTTGTTGCGGTTGGCTCCCAGCATTTCTGTCCCACTGAGATAAAATAATTTTTCTCTTTATGTCAAATTGGCTCTTTCGTTTTCCTCAACAACTTTCGTAAATAAAATGGCTGTAGTGAAATCGAGCAAAGTAAATGCCTTCTTTGCACCTTAATGCACAGACCATGGAGGATAGGCCGGATAGAAGAAAAACGAACTGACCGGATGACTGGTGTACAGGGTGCAGAATAGCTTCTAATGCGCGAGGTGATTCAGGATATGAAGTGCGACGTCAAGGAATCGTTCCTTGTGTTCAGATAGACAAGCTCCGTTCCACTAATGCAGTATATTCATATGTTTCACAATTTTCACCAGAGATTATAAAAACAATGTGATCGCAGCCCACACCACCGAGTAGGCGAAGGACGGAAACCAATGCGAATTGAGAGACTAGCTTGAGTGGGGAGAATCAATGAGGATCAGATGAAATTCGGTTGATTGACTAGTTAGTTCTGTGAAGCCAGTGCGCATGGTCCGAATAGTCAACCACCCACAGCTTATTCGTGAACACCTGTAAGTGTGTGTGTGTGTGGGGGGGGGGGAACTCCACTTCCCTATGTTGAAGCCGCTGCTGCACGTTCGCGCAACAAGCAACACACGCGGTCACCGGTATAAACTAATGGTACCGGATTTAAAGCACATCGCTCACCCTTTAAGTTTCGAGTGTCGAGTGGTGAAACGTTGAAACAAATTGCCGGAGACGCTAGGCGAGGCGAAATCGATGTCGGAATTTATTAAATTTCTTGACGTCCACTTTACGGACTGTAAGTATAGGGAGCGCAGCATACCTGCGTAAGATGTAGTGCAGCTGTAATATGCTGCCACCGCGAAGGAATCAGCGACGTGATTCCGCGCATGTGTCCGATCCACCTACGATGGAGCAACACAGATTTTTCCCAGCATGCAGTATCCTCAGTATGCGCATTGCAGACGACGGCAGCGTTTGAGTGTGCACAATAAACATAAAGGACGTGTGAAGTATCCGAGAGATGGAAACAACTTACATGGACTATCACTGATTCAGTGTGCAAGACTGGGAGAGTTTCGGAGCACACTGATCCGGATAAAGTAAAAATAGCTAACTGAGAGCGCAAAGTGTTATAATGACGTACTCTGTCGCATTGCCAGATACAAATGGCGCATTATTGGTTCGTTCGAAATTACTAATACCGTCACTTTTGCCCAAATAAGTAAAAGATTGGAAAATAATGAATGGGCGAGTGATGAGGAAGTGATCACAAGGAAAATAGGAGACGCACGATGGATCAACCAGCGTTCCACATGCAATCATACCGAACAGGATATTAAGACTTGAAAGTGTTATCCAGTTGCCACCATCAATACTTTCATGCACTAGGATGAGCTACTGCAGCCAGCTAATAAGGTCCACAGTAGGGTACTAGGTGAACCACCAGCGGTCCAAGCGCCAATAAGCAAGTTTGAATGTGAGGTACGCCTGCAATGCAACTGGTGGGCTATTTCACATGCCTCCCAGAGGCTGAGGGGTGGCAATTATCGTCACGTAGAACAAACGACGCACATGGGAGTGTAATTTGCTACCGAAAGAACCAGCAGCAGTACGGCGGCACACCGTACCGAGACTTCGTCATCACGCGTAGGCTGGCTCTACCGCAAGAAGGCGGATGCGAACAATTAACCTCCGGATTGCAAGGCAAGCGAATAATCCCTTCGGGCACTGAAAGCCATTCAGGATAGGTGAATGGCACGAGATGAAGCAAGTGGAACAGTTAGCTCAAATAAGTAGCTGTGGAAGATGTGGGTCATGTGCGCAGGATAGAGATGGACGAAAGCTACAATCAGTTCGAAAGTATTGGGTCAAAAGGTGGGCCTCAACAATCCAGTGTGTCAAAACAGATGGTTATGTAATAGCGAATGGGAACATCCGTCTAACCGCCGTTAAGTGCATAGTGAAAGAGATGATCACATCAAAACGGTGTAGAGGCGGATGCGACCAATTGTTGACTGTGGTTGGACCACTCACAGGTGTCTGTAGTAAATAATTTTCGGATGCTGGCTAGTCCGAACACTGTACTCCACTATCGGTCTCTTTCTAGATTAAAATTATGGGTAAGTGTGGCTGAACTAGCAACCGAGATTAGCAGCTGATGCTTTGAATTCTACACTACCGAGTTGCAAGCTATACTCAATCCAAAGGTTAGGGCCTCATTTTCAGTGATACACCCCGCTGAAAACCTAGATGGAGAAGTTTGAAGTGAGCCACTGAAAGTCGAGATACATGGGTGATCCCCAGCTTAAGATTGCAACACACAGGTTCCGATACCAAGTTGAGAGAACCAGAGGATTGAGACTGTCCGGTATTCAACCACAGAAACCGATAAACAGCCTAGTGGGTAATACGATACGCTTTAAAACAGTAGAGTTTACAAGTCGTCACTGACACACGGACCAATGGAGCTGGGTTCCTTAGAAGTCCAAATTCAGTGGACATCTTATCGAACCACCGCGGTCGGTGAGACGCGGAGGAAGCCGTGAGACTGAATGACGGAATGTGCAGCCAATGCTGAGAAAAAAGGGGCAATGCGGCTGGTACGCAGGGGTCGGAAGCTCGTACCAGCCGCCAACCACTCTGAAACAAGTAGCTAATAAGATATCACTTCATAAAACAAGGTAAAATGTCATCTTGAGGTGGGGGTGGAAATGATATACTATTAACGGAAGCTGTGTTGGGCGCAGTAAACAGGAGCGCGTGGCTTCGTTAGTCAGATCACGCTGGCATGTGTACGCACTAAGACAACAGGACGCACATAACCCGTCACAAAGTCAAGTTTGGATGTCAGATCCAAAAGATATGGAATATGCTCTTGACATAAAGTGACCGTTGTGCAATATTCTGCAAGTGTTGAGCCGGTGCAAGTTGTCAGGTGCGGACAAAGGCCGACGCCGTGATGCAACCACAGCGTGAGTTCGCGACCGGTAAGATGACGAACACATTTACACAGCCTACACTCTTGGTAGCAGAGCTGACGAACCCTCTGTCAAAGATGATAATCTAATAGGTGGGTCTCGCCAGGTGTTAACAAAACTTAAGTGAAGGGTCGGGTAACGATGAGGTAAGCGCAGATTAGCGACAGACGTATTTAGCGAAAAGTATCAGAAAGTTGCGTATACCACACCAGAATCAAGGCACAACAAATTCCTTGTTTGGGAAATGCAATCCGAACTTTCTACACAAAATACATGAAAGGTTTCGGATGTGGAAAAAACTGTTTGCATAAGGGCACATGGCAAGAACGGATAGCTCAGTCAAGTGGTGAGTTCAATGACAAACGATACTGGTCAACTGCAAAGAACTGCAATGGTGCGCTGCCACGAAGTGATTAAAACAAACGGAACAAATCGGTTCAATCCCATGGTATCTGAGTTAGTTGAGCTTATAAAATGCGGTGAAGTAGGGCCAGAGGCGACAGCATAAACTGTGAATTAGTATAACCTCCATTGTAATGACACCTTGGGTCGTTCGCAAGGGAAACGGTAAGAGAGCAGTAAAACATGCGACTCAAAGTGCGATGTAACGAGTGGACTTGAAGCCAACGTGGTACGCGCCAATCCAGTCAGAATCATCATCATCATTATACAAGTGAGCTAGAGGTAGAAAACACGTTAGCTACTGTACCAATCCAGTGGCACAAGGAGTATGCTTAGTGGATAAGACTAGGTTTGAGGGAAAGGATGATCAACTACAAATGACAACGATCAAACGGTGGTGCAAGAGGAGCTCGGGTGTGGCAAGTGACGCCACGACAAAAGGGGCAGTGTGGGGGATAAGGGAAGCGAATAAAACGGAAACGGATTCGTCATCGTCGGTGAGCAAATGTATATCAAAGCAACAAGGAATCGCAACCAAATGAGGAGATTAGTTGGGTTCATGAACCCGTTTGATGGGATTACGATATGAATGGTCCATAACACAGACACGTAAGCACGGTGCTGACCTTTGAATTGTGAAGCGGGCAAGGAAAAGGGCGACGAACTTCAAGCTGATCAAGGCACTGTTAAGCGGGAGTGGAGAAACAGAGAGCACAACTGGACGCCAAAGAATTCGGGTCAGTTCAATTCAACAACTATGATCCGGCAACAAAGTGTGATGGATTCAGTTGTCACGACTAGCGTTAGAAGGGTGGAAACGATAAACGAGGATGATGACGATGATGGTGAATATGAGGTAGAACGCAAACAAAATACAAGGAAAAAGGAGTTGGGAAAAAGTGGTGAAATTAGTCGGGAAAGAGTATGAAAATAACGTGTGCAATAAGCAAGGCCACCGCTGATTGTGCCATGCTCGACATGTTTCCCAATTATTAATGCAGCCCATCCCGAAGACAGCCAATATCAGACCGAGCAAGTGTCTCGGCTGATATTTTCATGCAACGTAACTGAGTAAAAATTTCGCGGTTTCGTCCAACTAGTTGAAGTGACAGCGTATGGGGGTGACGAGGAAGACAGTCACGTGTTTACGTTAGCGTAAGCAGTTCAGCTTTAACAGACACCTCAGCGAGGCACCAGAGGGATTTCTACGAAACGTCAACTGGTGGACCACAACAATGCTGACCAAGTTGATCCCACAAGATGTGTGTAATACTCCGCAAACACAGGTGACCAAAAACAACTAAATTATTAATGTTCCTAGTGCCAAGTGACCAGGCCTCCGATCCATACATCAACACGGATATTATCGCGGCGTCGTAAATGCTACCTTAGAATAATTATCAGGTATTCAATTGCTTCAATAAACGACTGAGAATTCATAAGCTCCACTAGCTTTGCTGGAACGTGAAGTAACCTCAGAGACGTGATCACCAGTGACACTGATCAAGCGCTTTCAGTGGCATCTCGGTGACAGCAAGAACCGGTGGTGTGTCGACCCAATCCTGTAACAGTACAGTGCTCTTTGAAGGTGCGAAGCACATGCTGGTGTGAAGCGCTACGCGTCATCTTATTTGGTAATGCTTTGGTGGGCACTGGATCGGAAAACGATATCGGCAGTGAATTCAAAGTTGATCAGTTGATCATCTTATAGAACGCCGACTCAGTAAAAGGACAACCCTGGTGAGCCTCATTCGTCGTGGGGAACTTAAGAGACATTTCCCGTAGACCGTTATTCGGCGCTAGGAGTTGCGGAAGAGAGACTTCAGAAGAGAAAAGGGTTTCCCTGGCATGCGTTTCACAAGCGAGGAATATCAACAAAGTCAAAGGAAGCCTTCAAATCAAGTAACGCTGTATGTGTGCTCTATCCCAAAGGTTGACGAAACCATAATATTTGGTCGATGAAACCAAGACTAGGGATGACTGACAATGATTCGGCTCATGTGAGGACCAGTAAAGTCGGTGAGGAATTAGATCTGCGGAAATTTCGGTAATCATGAAAATAAGGCCAATAGTTCTGTGATTATCACACTATGTCGTTTTAGCATTTTTGAAGATGGGCACTACAGTTGACAATCGTCAGTCTGGAGGTACCTCATGGATGTCTCAAAGAGTGTTGAAGAGAATGTCAAGTCCAGAAAACAAAGAGTCGCTTTTATCTTTCAGCAAAGATGGAGGAATGTCGTCGATTCTAGGAACCATATTTGGCTTCAAGAATTTCCCAAATGGGCTCAGGTGAATCGGCAAGCCGTAGTGTCACAGCAGACCTGCGTTAAGCAAAGCATATGAGCGCTAAGGAATGGACCAAGTACACATTCGAAAGTGGAAATTGCCAGGTCCAGAAAAATGCGGATTCTCCTGCATACCATCGATGAAGCAGTGAAAAGCTAAGAATAGACATCCATTGCGTGTAGCAATAGGTTCGGTGAAGGCTTTGTCGACCAACTATGCTTAAGAGATGAAGTGTCGTGGAGTAAACTGTGCGGCTAGTTGTAGGATATGAATAAGCAAGAGGCATCCGGCTGTTAAGAGCTACGATGAGTGAGGCTCCTTCAAGGAGGGAAAGTATACACCAATTTAGTACAGTCCAAATGTTCGAAGGGTCGATAATATGGTAAGATATCCCCCAGTTAGATTTCAATTCCGTTCCAAATTCAAGGGCTTACTCAGCCCGGAAGCAACCGAAGATTACGGTTTATCAACTAGCGTGACACAAACGTAGGAAACACTCAAATTGGTATCATAGACCAAGTATCACAATATACTACTCACGTGGTACTCTTTGTCCGGAGTGCCGTTGCCTGACGACGAATCGGACCCAGGTGTTCCATTGCGTTTATCATCGTCGGAAACAGCTCGCAAAATCTGACAACATAAACGTGCCCGCATCAGACACTGAGGAGAGCCTAGATAAAGAGAAGACAATGCTTTACAACAGCAAAGTGTTTTCAGGCCAACCAATGGTACAAAACGGATGATCTGGGAAAACTTCAGAGAGTAAGCAGAAAATGAGCGACTACAATGTTCAATTTCACGCCTGGGACAGCGTTGAATGGCCAATCAGTGAGATGGAATGTGCACGCAGCCTGGGAACAAACGGCATATATATATATATATATATATATATATATATATATAGGCGGTAGTATATAGCATGGTATGTAAAACAGTGTAAAGTAGTATCGTAGTATCATATGTCAGCGCATTTTATTTCCTTAATTGAAGAGTTCATTTAACTGGTCAGCATATATTTCCTAGTATTGTCTCACAGTCATCTTTGTACTTACAGCCAATTACAATATAAAGCGGACCAGTATACCAAGTTGCTCTATCGTTTGTTACTATGGAATCCTCAACGTAGTGTGATGTTTTCTTTTACAATATCTGTACCTTCCTTTGAGTTTCACGTTTTCCGATGGATAATATGCCCATTCGTAGATTTCTGCATATATATATATATATATATATATATATATATATATATCCCATGCTAAGGCTGATGTCGCATTCATGATGCTTCTTCACCGCAGTTGGGCTAAACCAAATTACACTTAAACTAGGTCTTTTTAATGTGGATAAAATTCATTACATTTTATTTGGCTTGTTCTGCGTACTTGATAATCTTCTCCCAACTTACACACGTCGCTCATGCAAATTGTGGTAAACTTGCGTAATTGTATCGCGTGGTATATTTTAAATAACTTTCGGACATTTTGTACTTATCGCGTATTCACTTATAACCAATTTCTTCCATATGCTCATTTAGCGAGTATTTATGTCGTCATATGCGTTTACTTTATTCGATATCGGCATTTCGAATACTTGGCTGTTGTTTGACATCCCAGGTGTGGCTGCGCTTGATGTGCATGTTGACAAGGTGCCTACCTGTCTATTACCCACTACCTCGTCCATCTGGCTCCAGGAGACAGTTGGTCGTTGCTGGAGGGGACGGGTGCACGGTCCTTGTGGTCGTGCTAGGCTCGAAGAGTGGTTCCATGCACTCAGTGTGGAGCGGACTACGGTCCAGCCACCGCCTTGTGTGCGCTTGATTCCCCAAATACAGCGTGCTTGTGTTTGCCTGTGAAGGAGTGTGGGCCGGCTCCGTTGATGAAACGTGGCTCCCATCCACATGCCTCCCAGTCTTATTCCTTCGGGTTTACACCGGATATGGGGTGTGTGGGTGGAGCTGTAGGTGGTGCAGCGCAAGTCATCTATGGTCCCTCTGTAGACGCAGGCGTCCTGTGGTTGGTCACAGTGACAAGCAAATCCGAAACCGGATGCCGCCAACCATATATACAGACGTAAACCAAATTACACTTAAACCAGGTCATTTTAATCTGGATAAATTTCAATCCACTAAGATTAGTTTGTTAGGCCTACCTGAATAAGCTTCTTTTGATTTGCACACGTTGTTTACGCCAATTGTGCTTATCTTCGTTAACTTAACTGCGTTTGTAGCATTTGTTGAGTAACTTCTGGACAGGCTGTACGTATCGCATATTCATTGCAAACCAACTTACTTCATATGCAAACTTAGCGAAGAGTTATGTCTGCATAGCCGTATGCTTAACAGATATACATTATTTCATAATGTTAGTTCAAGTAATTCCCTGTTGATTGATATCCCCAGTGGGGCTGTGCCTGATGTGCATGTTGACAAGGTGTCTACCTGTCTAGTACTCACTACCTCGTCCATACTGGCTCTAGGAGACAGTTGGTCGTTGCTGGAGGGGACGGGATGAAGGGTCCTAGTGGCCGTGCTAGGCTCGAAGAGGTCACTCAATGTGGGACGGAGTACGGTCCAACAACCGCAGTATGTGCGATTAATTCCCAAATAGAATGTGCTTGCGTTTGCTTGTGAAGGAGTGTGGGCCGGCTCCGGTGATGAAACGTGGCTCGCATCAACAGCCTCCCGGTATTATTCCTTCGGGTTTGCGCTGGATATGGGGGGTGTGGGTGGAAATGTGGATGCTGCAGCGAAAGCCACCCATGGTTCCTCTGCAGGCGCAGGTGTCCTGTGGCTGTCCCCGTGAAGGCCACAGTTACAGGCAAATCCGGAAACGGATGCCGCCAACCATATATATATATATACATATATATATATATATATATATATATATATATATATATATATATATGGTTGGCGGCATCCGGTTTCGGATTTGGCTGTCACTGTGGCAAGCCACAGGACGCCTGCGCCTACAGAGGGACCATGGGTGGCTTGCGCTGCACCACCCACAGCTGCAACCACACACTCCATATCCAGTGTAAACCCGAAGGAATAAGACTGGGAGGCAAGCGGATGGGAACCACGTTTCATCAACGGAGCCGGAACACACTCCTTCACAGGCAAACACAAGCACACTGTATTTGGGGAATCAACCGCACACAAGGCGGTGGCTAGACCGTAGTCCGCTCCACACTGAGTGCATGGAACCACTCTTTGATCCTAACACGGCCACAAGGACCGTGCACCTCGTCCCCTCCAGCAACGACCAACTGTCTCCTGAAGCCAGATGGACGAGGTAGTGGGTAATAGACAGGTAGGCACCTTGTCAACATGCACATCAAGCGCAGCCACACCGGGGATATCAAACAACAGCCAAACACTTGAGAGAGAGAGAGAGAGAGAGAAGGAAGGAAAATAACTCGATTGATGCATACGGAAACGGTGACATAAACCTTAAGTTAATGAACATATGAAATAAGTTGTTTACAAACGAATCCTAGATAAGTTCACGAGGTCAGAAAGTATACTATACGGAAATGCCACGAACACAAAAATGTTATGGAAATCGAATACAATTGACTTAAGCGAGGTGTGCAAGTTAATGGAATAGAGTACAGGTAGACATTTATATGAGAAAGAAAAGCATTAAGGCAAAATTGAAAACCCACCACCTGAAATAAAGAGACTTAGCATGCAAGCACGCGGTTAGTAAAAAGAATGCAGCGTATCTACAGACGCTGCACCGGTTTTGAATACTTCTCTGCAGGACCCGTCGTCGCTTCTGTAGTGGTCCCGAGTGGCCTCACTCATGGCTCACTAGACACTAGACATTTATAGGAGAAAGAAAGGCATTAGGACAAAATTGAAAACCCACCACCTGAAATAAAGAGACTTAGCATGCAAGCACGCGATTAGTAAATCGAATGCAGCGTACCTACAAACGCTGCGCCGGTTCTGCCTACGATCTCTGCAGAACCCGTCGTCGCTTCGGTAGTAGTCCAGAGTGGCCTCGCTCATGGCTCACTAAGCCTGCCTGACTAAGGCACTCGCGACCGCATGTTCTACAGCACCATGCGCTTGATGTCGATGGAGTACAACCCATCGGTGCTTGCCGCTTCCGCACTTGCCGCTTCTTCTCTGCATGCATGAGAGCTTTCTCCCGCACTTCAGCAACCGCCTACGTGATTAGATCGCGCCATGCACGCCGATCAACCGCCTTCGATTCCCATGATCTGCAATCAAGGTTAGAACGTGTGAGGCTCACTTTAATCATGTCCTGGTAACGTACCTTTGGTTTCCCCAAGTGCCGCTTCTCAATACGCAGCTGACCGTATAAGAGTTGTTTCGATATCCGCGTCGAATCCATAAGGCTCACATGACCGAGCCATCTCAGGTGTCTCAATAAAAGTATGCAGTCCACTGCATACATCCCACTTCGGCGCAAAACTTCCGTGTCTGCAACTCTGTCGCCCCAACCGATGCGCAAAATTCGTCGCAGACACTGCTGATGGAACCGCTCGAGATATCGCACATCCCGACTGTACATCGTCCACGTTTCACTGCCGTATAGAAGAACGGACAGCACCATGGATTTGTACACCATCAGCTTCGTGCCAACGGTAAGCTGATGGTTGTTCCACACTCGGTACTCTAGCTTCCCAAACGCCGCTGCTGCCTTCGAGACGCGGATACGCAGCTCAGCGTGTAGCTGCTGATCAGTCGACATCACACTCCAAAGGTAGCAGAAGCGGGAGGTGGTTTCCAATACTTCAGCACCAATGCTGATTCGCGGCAATATTGAAGATTGCACCTCCGGTGAAGGCTGAAAGAGACAAACAGTTTTGCTTGTGTTGATGGTGAGCCAGAATTTGGCCGCTGTCGAAGCCAAAGCACTAGTCATGTGCTGCAACTCATCCGCGCTGTGTGAAAACAACGCACAGTCGTCAGCAAACAGCAACATACGGATAGTTGTCTCACAGACTAGAGTTCTCGCACCGAAACGACGGATGTTCAGCAACCCACCATCAATACGGTGCTCCACACGAACACCGTAAGCACAAGCCGCATCAAAAGCACAAGACATCATTGCATGAAGATATATATTAAACAGGGTAGGAGCTAAGACATAGCCTTACTTGACACCAGAGACAACTGCAATGTCATCCGAGGTCTCTCCACTCAGCTGCACCCTCGCTCGCATACCACTGTGCAGACATTCAATTAAACTTACAAACTTACGCGGGCAACCAAACTTACCCAACACCAGCCACAACGCCTCGCGGTTCACCGTATCAAATGCGTTGGTGAAATCAACAAAAAGCGAGTACAAAGGCTGGTGTCGTTCTCTGCACTTCTCTTGCAACTGACGAGCCGCAAACACCATATCTATAGTGCTGCGACCCGAACGGAACCCACACTGCTCCTCCGCCACGTTAGGTTCCACAACCTGACTGACGAGGCGGTTGAGCAGGATTCGGGCAATCACCTTGCCCACACAACTCATCAAGTTGATGCCACGATAATTCGTGCAACATTGCTTGCTACCTTTGCCCTTGTACAGTGGTAGCACAAGGGCATCTTTCAGCTCAGCAGGCACCTCCTCCTCAATCCACACGCGTTGCACCAAGTGGTGCAGCGCAGTCAACAACGCGGGTCCGCCGTGTTTCAATACTTCAGGCAGGATCCCGTCGGCTCCGGCACACTTGCCGTTTCGCAGCCGAGCAAGTGCTCTCTGCGTCTCATCCAGTGTCGGCGTATCCGCCAGATCCGCCTTCACATCGTGCTGCTTCAGGCCGTTCAATGTAGGCCAGTCGATCTCTGAAAGGTTGTTCAAGAGACAGTCAAAGTGTTTTCGCCAGATCTGCATTATGTCTGCAGTCTGTGTGCAGGTAGCGCCTGAACTACCATCGATCAGCGTCCTCAGCTGCTCCAATCTCGGTCCATACACCGCCTTCAAGGAGTCAGAGAATTCCTTGTGTTGACGGCGTTCGGCGTAGCATTCCATCTGCTTCGCCTTCTCCGTCCACCATGCATTTTTAATGCGATGAAGCTCTCGGGTCAGTCGCTGTCGAAGTTTGCGAAACTGACTATTCTTCCCCAAGTCACTGGGGTCTGCAGCATGCGCAGCAAATGCTGCATTTTTCTCACACACCAGTTCGCCAATCGTCGCATAGTTCTCATCAAACCAAGCAGGCCGCTTACAGTTTGCGCGCCAGATGGCCTCCTCGGCATCAGCCGTCACCTGGTCGCGAATGTGGTGCCACAGGTCGTCCACTGTGGCTATGCAGTCCACATCACCACACAGACGTGCAGTCATCGCCTTCTCCAGCTCAGTACGTTTCGCCTCAGTACCGAGGGAGAGAATGGCAAATTTACGCCGATTCACGGTGGGAGTGCAATACATAGATTTACGAAAATATATGTACAGTTTGGTCCGCACCAATTTAGGATCAGTGCTACACTCAGCTCCAAGTAGTACATGTGTCATGCGCACTAAATGCATATCACGCTGACGTACGATTATATAGTCGAGCAGGTGAGCGTGACCACTCCGTCGGTGCGTCCAAGTTGCTATATCACTCGCACTCAGTGCAAACCGAGTGTTCGTGATCGTCAGGCCGTGAGTGGCACACAGTGAGAGCAGCCTGTCACCGTTTGCATTCGCTGAACCAATGTCATGCGAACCGATAACATCTGTCCACACTGATGCATCACGCCCAACGCGCGCGTTGAAAGTACCCAGCAGAAATAGTCGGTCGCTCCTCGGCACAGACCGTATTAAGAAGGGTAGCTGAGTGGAGAATTTATCACGCGTGTCATCATGATAACACACGGTCGGACCGTACTTGCTTATAAAAGTAGCAAACTTACCTCTTCCGAGACGTAGGCGAACAGTCATCAGTCGCGCGCTGATGCCTGTTGGTTCACCCATCAGCTGGCCATGGAGGCGATCGGATATTGCAAATCCGACCCCATGACCACGTGGTGCTGAGGCGGCGTTGCCCACCCAGTAGAATGGGTAGCTAGCACCTGCTTCATGCAACTTACCTTGCTCAGCGATCCGGGTTTCACTGAGCGCCGCAATATCGATGTGGTAGCGCACCAGTTCCATCGCGATCAGTGCAGTACGTCGCACCGGGCACTCACTGGAGTTCCGGTCCAGTAGTGTCCGCACGTTCCATCACCCGATACTGAGTGCTTTGCGCGCAGGCATACTATTGCATTGGTGAGCAATCGCACGCGAGATGGTCGTTTTGCTTGGGAGGTTTGCTTGAGGAAATCCACCCGGAGCCTTTGGCTCAATAGCCTTATCCACAAGGCAGTGGGTAATTTGGAGGTTTGCTTGAGGGACTCCACCCGAAGCCTTTGGATCAATAGCCTGACCCACAACGCAGTGGGGAGCAGATCCAGCTCGGGAATGTGATTGCAGAGACAGATTGGGATCTGATTGACGGCAGTCACACGCACCCTTTGAGGCACTAGAACAATTCATATATGTTTTGCGACCGTAATAGGATACATCTGCGAACACGCCCAGACGCAGGAGGGTTTTGGCGGATTTGAACCAATTTGACCAGGGGCTCCCTGGCTTGAGGCGGGCAGTAGCAAACCACTGAACACCCGGAGGTGTCCTCCCACCGTGAGAGACAATGCGTGGCACTCGTGCTCTACGCCAACCGAGCTGTAAGCTTATAACCCGTAGACCTGTTGTCTCCCACGGCTAGATTTTACGGGAAGCGGGTCATCGACCATTTGCTGACCTCCGAAGAGGATGGACTAGGATACTGGCAGGGCGCCCACACCTGACAGGAGAACGACTCGGGTCCTCAGCCAAAGCCTTCGATGAAATGTACACTCGAAAGGCATCAGGTCTAGCACATGGTCAATTCACTGACTCATGCGAATTGGTGTCTTGGATTTTAGCAGAAAGAAGGGCGAAACCCAACTCCCACCTAGCGGTCGCCACGAGGAGGCGTCCAGGACATGAGCCAATAGCACAACAGTGGGTAGATCATCTGTCATGAGCTAGTAACCACCAGCCTCAGCGCATCATAGGCTCTCCCACCATATATATATATATATATATATATATATATACATGCAACAATCTACGAATAAATATGGAGCCATCAGGAACCATGGAACCCAAAGGAAGGTACAGATGTAGTAAACGAAAACACTACACTACACTGAGGACTCCATGGTAACAAACGGTAGCGAAACTTGGTATATTGGTCAGCGTTGTGGTGTAATTGGCTGTAAGTACAAGTATGACTGTGAGACAATACTGCGAAAACATATGCTGACTGCAGGAAAATAAACTCATCAATTAAGGGAATCAAGTGCGCTTCCATGTGACACTACGACTGCAATACATGAAAGGAGATAAAACCTTTGGGAAGTAAATCACATTCCAGATAGTATATAACCTCAGTATCATTCATGGAGAGTTATTGGAGTAAAAAGCATGGTTTCAGCTATTCAATATCAGGCCAAATACAACACGCTCATAAAGCAAGGTATGCCAAATAGCTCGGCAAATGATTGACGATAAAATGGGTCCAGTGTTGTGTCGTGCTTTCTTAGTCGGTGGGTAGCAAGAGTATGCTGGTATATCGTGTCGAATCTTTACTACCACGCGACCACGAGCAGTTGTGTGTGGGGGTTCAGCCAATTGTGAAGTGGCCCACAACTATGCGCGATCGAACCAGTGACATGCATATTATGAGCTAGACTGATGAACCATACGGTTATCGCCCGTACTGGTTCAGATCACGAACCTAGTCAAGAAATTTGTTTGTTCCAAGAAGAGGAAGACGAATCGCTATCGCTTCCGCCCCTGCAAGTATGTGGTATTTAATCAGATTGACGTAAGCTCCGTTCACGCGGTAGATCGGTGCAATACTTTCGAGAATGACAACCGAGTGATTCGATTCTGCCAGATGACCGACAAGTGCAGAGGTAAGGGTTTTGTTCATTAACAAGTTAGCCGTGGTGTGACGCATTCGAACGGGTGCAGTTTGTGATACATGTTCCAACGGAAACAAGTGAATCGGTGAGGTGGTATCCATAGACAAAAACTCATCCAACTGGAGAGATTCCATGGATTGAATAAAACGTGTATTACTGTAGTAGTCGCTTAGCTTGTGGAAACGAATCATATGGTTGTCATTGTGAGAGTCATCTGCCCGAACTGGACCACCCCATTCTGTGATTTCTTATCTTTTTCATCCGTCACAGGATTAATATTTTCTTAATTATTGTGTAGTAGATTTGTGTCATAGTGACCACATCCATGGATGATGGACCGAAGTGAACTGAACCGCGCGAGGTCATCATGTTCCGAGTGGATCAAATGCAGCACAATTGCGGCGATAGAATCGATAGTGATAAGGCTGAACCATTACTTTCACATTGTGAACATAAACGATGAGTGACGAAGACTTAAAGTTTACTGTGACTGTCACTCGCAAAGCTTCCTCTGAGATGACAGCAGCCACATGAAGGTGCTATAAAAGTGGCATCACTATTGGGCGAGATATTGATCTAAATGAAGTGTTGTATTTGGCTCAAGATTGACTGGCAGAAAACAAGTTTGTTCACGGAGTCTGTCACGGAGTTTAGGAAGATGTACAAGGTTTGCTACCAGGCTGTTAAGTGGTCGCTGCACAGGATAACAGTAAAACTACAAAAGATCTGAGGAGTTGAGGCGAGTGGCAATTGCTGCTTACCGTCGATTGCATAGCGCAAGGAGCGTCGATAGGATTTGAACGGAAGCGGGGTCAGGAACCCGAAGGTGCCCAAGTGGAAGGGAAGCACAGGAGGGACACAACCCTAGAGAGAGAGAATAGGAATGAGAGGAGATTGGAAGCGGAATAAACTTCATGGGCACTTTGGCCACAATTAGTGAGTATGCGCCGAATATTTCAAATCGATTTTTCCTGAAGTGACCAGGGGGAATGATAGACATATACTAAGGAGACTTCAGTTGGATTAGAAAACGTGAAAGGGGAAAACAGTGATTATACAAATGTGGAAGAGGGAAAATAACGAAACTCTAACTGCAGAGCCCAAGCAAGAGAAGACGGGAGTGCAGTGGTTTTGGGGGACAACAATACAAAAAATATTCACTAACATTATGAGTATGTTGGCAGTAGAAACGACAGAAGGTGCAAGATGGACTCAAGAGGTCTGGTCAACAGGGAGCAAGCAAGAAAGGTTCACCAGATTACTGCATCAGCGTTGACATCACGCCATGAGATGTTGGTGATTTGCACAATCGCGTAGAATTCATAGTAAGAGTTATCTACATGAGTCCAAGCGATTCTTCAGAATCAGACATAAAGCTGTGTTGAGTACAGTTGTCCTAACTTAATTTAACATAAAAATGACTTAAAGCACCATCATCATCAAAACACGTTGACCATAGTTAATGGGCCGCAATACAAACAATATGAGATAAAACATTACAGACTACAAAAAATAAGACAGTAACATTGGGATGAGATCGTTGACAGAGTCGGAAGCTAGAGGGAAAGAAAAGGACGAAGAGAATCACAACATGGCAAACTCTGCCCTTCAGAAGGAGAGTGATGTCACGCCGGCGCCATAGGTGGCGATTGGCAAAAGCACCCCGAGCTTTCGCTATACAGTTTGTGACCTTATCTCCAATCCCACGACATCTAGCTGATTACGGCCAAGGGTCAGTGCAGGAGTCAGTCCCTGCTAATCTTGGAGGATTTTGCATTTCGACGGTGCATAGCATAGACCGAAACGACTGACAGACAAAGCTAACTTATCCAGTGCAGCTTGGCACGTGCAGTGGCTGTCACAAATGAGCGCAATGTCGTCAGCATACTTCAAGTCGGTCATCTGCGAGCAGCTCTACACCTGTCGTGCCCGGAAAGCGCCGCTTAAATGACTTCGTCAGTGGCGAAGTTAAAGAGGAAATGTGACAGCGAGCAACCTTGTTTCCCACCGCTGGGGACATGGAATAGCGGCGAAAGTTTGCCGTAGACGATCACTCTGCTCGTACTATGCGCGTCTAGCACTATAACAATTACATAGTCCTCGGTTACACTTTTTCTGTGTAGACAGTCCCAAAAGGCACATCGATCAACCAAATCGAAAGCCACTTTGATCTCTAGGAACACGACTACGGTGGATCGCCAAGAAACATCGCGCTCCTCCAACAACTGACTTAATGTGAATATGTGGTCAATGCGGCCTCGATTTCGACGAAACCTGTCCTGTTAATCGCGCATCCGGCTTTCACGGGAGCCGGCTGGTAGCCAATTGCAAGAAACCGAATGCAATGCAGTAGACGGTTTCGTGAGTGCACCACTCACGAGCAGATTTCAAAACACAGAAGTAACTGGGGAACCACATGCACCAATCTGTCACACTTTTTCCATCAGATTCTCCACTACGTTTACCTGAATGATCGCATACGGGTGCCACCAGACGGCGCAGTGTCATCAGTAAGCGAGGAACAACAGGGGACCCGGTGGGCGCGCGTGCAAAATGACAGCTGGGCAGGAAAGCTGATTGCCAACGCGCGTGTGTTCGCCATAAATCGTGTTTGGGACAGACGCTGCGAGCGTGTTGCCAGAGTCCAGCCGAAATCTAAGGAAATCGCGCATCAGACGTCATGCGTGTTGCCAAAGTCTGACCGGAAGCTGATGAAATCGTGCGTCAGACATCACGTACGTTGCCCTACCTGGGTAGGCGGATGAAGACTGGCGTGCCCGAGCAAGACGGTGAACTGGCCAGACGGAGCGGACAATCAAGTGTGAAGCGTGGGCGCACAGCCAAATCCGCCAGACGATGTTTAGAGGATTGGGGAGATCGACATAAAAATATCAGCGTTCTCGGTCCTAATACAACTCGGGTCGGCTGAGTCTTCTTCTGTCTTCCTTCCTGTCGGGTTTGTCAAGGCGTCAAACAGACCAAGCGTAAGGGCGCAGATTTATCAGTAGGCGTGAATCAACCGGTCGATTGCGGGTACAGCGTTATCACACAAATGTATTGAGCACTTCAGTAGAGAATCAGTGATCAGCGAACCTGCCCATTACATCTTTTTCACCGGTGATATTTTTTCTATATTTCGTCTTTTGAAGTTGCAGATTACATGTAGAGGCGTGAGGCATTATAGATCAGTCTATTCGAAAGTACTTACATGGCAATGTGGTTCGATTCAAATGCGCTTCGAACCAACTAAATTTAGCAGTCTGTCACTCAACATAGCATCTGAAGCAGCTGAAGTGGTCGGACGCAGGTCAAGTGGTTATATTCGCATTGTGTTCGACCACAAGATTGAAGAGTAGGTGAACAGTCGTGAGGAATGTTAATTCTCATGGTGAAACCAGATGGTAGGCGTTTGCAAAGTAGTCGCAATTGATAGGCAAAGATCATAACAAATAAAAGTCAGCAGCGACGGATGCTGCTTTGAAGACGGCTACAATTGCCAAGTGTTTTTAAGCGCGATAATGCTCAAGCACGTGGTCAGGTGCAGATTGCGGTGTAATGTATCTGTCATTGTGGTGGATGCCATTCTGGTCACACAGTGGGTTGACTGTCACAAAGTGCGATTGGATGGAAGAAAACGAGATCATCAATGGCTTTTACGAGACACCATTTGATACATTAGGCTTCGCAATAAAGTCGCTAGAGAAAACACTTTACGACATATAGCTGGAAGGCGAGTGGCAACTTCCAATAGCGTAAATTGCCTGCGGTAATAAAACTGCTACAGTCAAGAAACGCCAGGTGCACTGACCAGATCCGCAGGTCAGTTCGACACAGTGAATAATAACACGCGCTCCATATGTGAAGTGTTTACTGAATAGTTCGCGTCTTCACATATAAGTGAGCCGATCTCAATAATGTGGACCGTACGAGTGATGGAAGCTGTAAAATTTCGGAGGAAACTATAACCCTCACAAATGCCATATAAGCCCTAAAATCAGCTGACCTTCCAGTCGGGTGAGACAGGACGATATCCCTCAAATAATACGCGAGTAAGTCAGCGAAGACAACTTCTTCTTAACATGTTCGGTCTTTCGCTAAAATAAGACCAACATCCGACCCAGCATGAGCGTTATCTCATTATTCGGTGGCACAAAAGTGCTGCGCAAGATAAAGTGGCAAAGCAGCACCCCAGAATTCACATTATATCCAGTGTGTTAGAAAAATGTCGAAAGGTCGCTATTTGGGTCTTTTAAGACACAAGTTATTGGGCGAGCAACAACAAGTCCCACGAGCATTAACAAGCGGAGTTCTATGAAGTGGTGACCTTAATCTTACTATGTTCCTCATTTAAACCAATTTTCGATAGAGCCAAATATGGAGAACCACTTCTTTATGCTGATGATACGAAAATCGCCCATGCTTTCCACGCGGACCTATGCAAGCAACTATGAAAACCATCCAAACGAACCCGAACCTTCTTGAAATCCAATCTCGAATCTTCTGTCACGGATGTAACATTCCATTAGGCAGCTGAACTCTTAAATGGGGAACCAATTCATATTGCAAAGTTTGATTTGTGATATGGGAACAAGCTATATGACCTAGCAAACTTCTCAGCTCATGATCAACAACAGTTACCAGAGGCAAGATGCGCGGTAGACCTAATAGACAACTTAATAATCTTATTCGCAGCCAAGCTAGCTCTTTATTTGATTTGAGTTTACCCAGTTTTGGAGAGTTGCCTAACCAGCTACAGCAACATGTGCAAGAGTGAATTGCTATCGTTGGAGCGTTTGCAACAGTCCTTCAACAAGTTGTTTGCTTGAATCGTTGCTAGTAACATACCACGATATATGGTAGCTCCTACACATGGAACATCATGGCTACGACAACGTAAGACGAACCCAATGCTCTTTACAAAGTGATATACAATCCAAGCTTCGACTCAGCTTGAGCTACAACGCTGTGAAAAAGTCCTGCATCACCTTAAAAAAACAACTGTAATCTGATGGCTTTGTCGTCTAAATGAAAACTGAAGTGTACAGTAACTAAGTACCATTACATTCAGAGATTATAATTCTCATCACTTTTAGTGTTTTTATTATTCTTAAAATTGTTTTAGTCAAAAAATATTTATTGGAATAACCTCTATGGTGAACTCGGTTTAGAATGCTCCAGATATGTCAAATTGGGGTCAAAACCGACTTTTTAAACAAGGTGATTCTCCTCTAATAGAGACGTAGAATTTCTGGTTGATAGACAAATAGCATATATACCCGTAAAGTGCAAGTGTTTTAGCGCAAACTCGCAATACTTGTTAACCAGGTTGAATTAAAGCAGTATTGCTGCATGGAGAACGCAAATCAAGCAGGGAAATTGCTGCACAAGTTGGCTGTACTCAGTCACCAGTGATTGTCGGGTTTGGGAACAACCACCGTGTGTCGTGGGTTGCGACACGCAATCGCAAATGTGGCTTCGGTTGACTTTGAGGTCAGTTTCGCGTCGTGGAGCGCAGGGAGGGGAGAGAGCAACACCTAAAATCTCCAGTCATCAGAAGTATGAAAAATCAAACAAAAACTGGGAACACGGATGACAGGTCTCGATCCGGTCGAACCAAAAAGTCAACAGAACAAGATAACCGGGTAGTGCTGAGATCATCCTTGTGTCACAGGAAGCTGAGCTGCTGAAGGAGCAGTGTTCTGTGAACGTATGCAGTTCAACAGTACGAAGACGGGCAAAAATGAAACCACTGTTGTCTGATACACGAAGGAGACGAAGACTAGCATGGGACGGAAAGTACTTAGGTTGGATCAAGTAGGACCGGGAGAAAATTTATTTAATGATGAGTCACTTCTGCATTTTGA